GGACCAGAAGACCAGCAGGGACAGCCAGTGGAGTTCCTGGCCCACGGAGCAAGAAAGATGAGCACCTTCCGCTAGGAGGCTTACTGGCGGAGCAGGGTACCTCTGAGCAATTGGCAGAACTTAAAGAGCTTTCTAACACTTGCCTGAAAAGGGCAGAGGCCATTCCCAGGGGCCCAGGGCCAGAGAGAGACCTTCTAGTGGGCAGAAGAAGCTGTCCTGATCAAAGAACAGTATTCTGCATTCTTGAACCTGAATTGTAATTTGTTACACACCTAATAAAACCCTGTAACTGTGAGTATGGTCTGAGTATGAGCCACTGAACAAATGATCAAACCCAGCAAGGAGTAGAGAGTGCCCTGGGAGAGCTGATGTCTGGATTGGTGAAAAGGTCGGAGAGAGGAGGTATGTCTGACCTCTGCCTTACAGGAATCACCCTTGGGCTGTTAATCTTCTCCTTGTAAAGTTAGAGGAAGTCAGACGTCTCTGCCATGCCGTTGGTAGACAGATGGAAAAAGAGAGCCTCATGGTTGCCCACAGACATCCAGCGAGAGAGCAGCAAGGCCAGGTCTGACTCCATGGCCTTTTCTACCACACTCTGAGGCTCTTGCCATCTCTCTCAGCCTACTTCTTTGTCTCTTAAATGGAGATCAATTCACAGAGTTTTAAGAATTAAACAAGATACCTTACCATCTGGCATATAGCGTGTGCTAGCTAAGATTGTGTTTTTCTCTTCCCCACATCCACCTCTGTCCACAGGGGATGTTCATATGGGTGAAGCCCTTCCGGATGCCCTCTGCAGACCACTGTGGCCAGCCCTTGGTGCTCAGCCCCCGCAGCCCTAGTCTAGAGCTGTGTGAGCTGCTGCCCACATGCCTGCCCCTCTGCTACAACCACATGAATATGAGTGTCCTGGGCCGGAGACAGTGTGACCCATCTGGGTCCCCAGCACAGAGGACAGGCCAGCAGCGAGGAAGCAGGCACGAAACATGGAATGATGCCATTGGTGTGAATGGACAGAGGTGGGTGGAAGAAGGCAAGAAAGGAAGGGTAGGTAAGTGAGGAGAGGAAGGAAAAATATGGAATGGAATGGATGGACGGACGTCTGGATGAAGGGAAGTCTGGATGGATGGCGTTTAGATGGATAGGCCGAAGGATGAGTGGAAAGACGGACACATGGACAGATGGATGAATAGAAA